TCTGCGGTGTCAGTTGTAATCTCTTCTTTTTCATTTCTGATTTTACTGATTTGAGTCCTCTCCTTTTTTCCTTGATAAGTCTGGCTAAAGGTTTGCCAATTTTGTTTATCTTCTCAAAGAACCAGCTTTTAGTTTTATTGATCTTGCTGTTGTTTCTTTGTTTTTAATTCATTTATTTCTGCTCTGATCTTTATGATACCTTTTCTTCTGCTAACTTTGGGTTTTGTTTGTTCTTCTTTCTCTAGTTCCTTTAGGTATAAGATTAGATTGTTTATTTGAGATTTTTGTTGTTTCTTGAGGAGAGCTTGAATTGCTATGAACTTCCCTCTTAGAACTTCTTTTGCTCCATCCCATAGGTTTTGGATTGTCATGTTTTTGTTGTCATTTGTTTCTAGGTTTCTTTTTTGTTTTTCCTTTTTTGCGGTACACAGGCCTCTCACTGTTGTGGCCTCTCCCGTTGCGGAGCACAGGCTCCAGACACGCAGGCTCAGCGGCCATGGCTCACGGGCCTAGCCACTCCGCGGCATGTGGGATCTTCCCGAACCGGGGTACGAACTCGTGTCCCCTGCATCAGCAGGCGGATTCTCAACCACTGCGCCACCAGGGAAGCCCCGTTTCTAGGTATTTTTTGATTATCTCTGATTTCTTCAGTCATCTCTTGGTTATTTAGCAGCACACTGTTTCTCTCCATGTATTTGTGTTTTTTTCTGTTTTTTCCCCCTGTAATTGATTTCTAATCTCATAGCGTTGTGGTCGGAAAAGATGCTCAATACCATTTCAATTTTCTTAAATTTTCCAAGGCTTGATTTGTGACCCAAGATGTCATCTATTCTGGGGAATGTTCTGTGTGCACTTGAGAAGAAAGTATATTCTTCTGCTTTCAGGGGGAATGTCCTAAAAATATCAATTAAGTCTATCTGGTCTGTTGTGTCATTTAAAACTTGTGTTTCCTGATTTATTTTCTGTCTGGATGATCTGTCTGTTGGTGTAAGTGGGGTGTTAAAGTACCCCTCTATTGTGTTACCGTCGATTTCTCCTTTTATGGCTGTTAGCATTTGCCTTATGTATTGTGGTGCTCCTCTGTTGGGTGCATAAATATTTATAATCATTATGTTTTCTTCTTGGATTGATCCCTTGATCATTATGTAGTGTCCTAGTGTCCTTCTTTATCTCTCGTAACTATCTTTATTTTAAAGTCTATTTTATCTGATACAAGTATTGTTACTCCAGCTTTCTTGTTATTTCCATTTGCATGGAATATCTTTTCCCATCCCCTCACTTTCAGTCTGTATGTGTCCCTAGGCCTGAAGTGGGTTTCTTGTAGACAGCATATATAAGGGTCTTGTTTTTGCATCCATTCAACCTGTGTCTTTTGGTTGGAGCATTTAATCCATTTACATTCAAGGTGATTATCAATATGTATGTTCCTATTATCATTTTCTTAATTGATTTGCTTTTGTTTTTGTTGGTAGTTTTCTTCTCTTGTGTATCCGGCTTAGAGAAGTTCCTTTAGCATTTGTTGTAAAGCTGTTTTAGTGGTGCTGAATTATTGTAGCTTTTACTTGTCTGTAAAGCTTTTGATTTCTCCATCGAATCTGAATGAGATCCTTGCTGGGTAGAGTAATCTTGGTTGTAGGTTTTTCCCTTTCATCACTTTAAATATGTCCTGCCACTCCCTTCTGGCTTGCAGAGTTTCTGCTGAAAGATCAGCTGTTAACCTAATGGGGATTCCCTTGTATGTTATTTGTTGCTTTTCCTTTGCTGCTTTTAATATTTTTTCTTTGTATTTAATTTTTGATAGCTTGTTTAAAGTGTGTCTTGGCATGTTTCTCTTTGGATTAACCTTTATGGGACTCTCTGTGCTTCCTGGACTTGATTGACTGTTTCCTTTCCCGTGTTAGGGACGTTTTCAACTATAATCTCTTCAAATATTTTGTCAGACTCTGTCTTTTTCTCTTCTCTTCTAGGAACCCTGTAATTTGCATGTTGGTGGGTTTAATGTTGTCCCAGTGATCTCTGAGATGTCCTCAGTTCTTTTCATTCTTTTTTATTTATTCTGCTCCCGGCAGTTATTTCTACCATTTTTTCTGCCAGTTCACTTATCCATTCTTCTGCCTCAGTTATTCTGCGATTGTTTCCTCCTAGAGTATTTTTAATTTCAATTATTGTGTTGTTCATCACTGTTTGCTCTTTAGTTCTTGTAGATCCTTGTTAAACATTTCTTGTGTTTTCTCCATTCTGTTTCTGAGATTTGGGATCATCTTTATTATCATTACTGTGAATTCTTTTTCAAGTGGGTTGCCTATTTCAGCATCTTCATTTATCTGGTCTTGTAGGTTTTTACCTTGCTCCTTCATCTGTAACATATTTTTTTGTTGTTTCTTTTTTTTTTTTTTTTTTTTTTTCTGCTGGGGG